TTTGGCTTTAAAATGACAAATAATTATTGTATCACCCACTGTTAAGCATGTCATGGAGCTGGTGCGTTAGAAAGGAGAGGAAAACATGATTGTCCTATTGTTTAAAACCTTTGTAAGGTGTGTTATGCTCCTGACCCATGTTTTGGGGAAAAAAATGATACGGAACAGTCCAAATTCCTTGTTTCCTCTTTAGGGAATTTAAAGCGAGAAATAAACTTGCAAGTCCCCAAGTTCCAAACGGTGGCAGTGTCTCAGCCCTGAACAGAGGGTTGATGCTTGTCTAGGGTGTTGCACCAAAATATTTTTAGTCTGTGGGGTAATGCAATAAAAGGCTTGAAAGCCTTTCATCTCCTGGGAAGAATATAATTCACAGCTGTCAGGGAAGATGTAAATAGGAACACAATGGCCAACAAAGCTTCGGCCCAAATGCTGCTGCAACTTTGTCTCCAGGCCAAGTAAAGATCCATCCCATAGGACGTGTGGTGGGTGCATGATGCTCACTCGCCTGCCATGCCTGTGTGTTTCATCAGCAGCAGAGTGGCTGGCTTGTGGGGGCGTACCCGAGATACCATGGGTCTGGCTACCTGCCAGAGATGGGCACCTAATGCAGCAGTGGCTGCCCTGACTCAGCTGCATCCTCCCGAATGCAAAAGCCCCCATCTGGGGAAGCCTGCCCTGCAGCTGCTGGCCTTACAGACACCCCAAGCTGCCTCTGGAAATTTTGGCCCAGAAAGATGTAGATGAAGGGGTTCAGGCAACTGTCGGCATAACCCAGGCTGACAGCCACGTTGTAGGCATAGTAGAAAGGCAGGATGGGGCGAGTCATGGTGAGCTGGACCAAGTGCAGGATGTGGAAAGGTGCCCAGCAAACGAAGGCGGCTACGCAAGCAGCAGTCACTGTCTTGATTCAAGCTCTGGTGAGCTGAGCACACATTCACACAGGCGTAATGCTGAGCAAGGAAAGGGCCCAGAGCACGAGGGTGACAAGGATTGCCACGGGGCCCTTCCTGAAGCACGTGGAGGTGAAGGGGTAGATGGTGGCCAGGTAGCGGTCGATGGACATAGCAGTGAGGGTGTAGGTGCTGGTGAACTGGCTGTTGGCATCAAGGGCAGTGATGATTGTGTGCATTGTCTCCCTGAAGTGCCAGGCTCTGTCCCCCAGCAGCTGGTGGATGAGAAAGGGCATGTCCAGGAGGAAGAGCAGGTCCACCATGGAGAGGCTGATGATGAGGATATCTGGGACACTACTGCTAGGGCCAGATTTCTTTAAGACTGTACAGATAACCAGGCTGTTAGCAATAATGCTCAACAGGCAGATAATGCCAAACAGGGTGGGCACGATACTGCTGCCATAGCTCATCCTGCTGGGGTCACCTGCGGAGAGAAGTGTAGGCAGGAACCAGGCAGCTGGGCCAGGACCACTGGTGAGGACATGCCTTGTGATCGTCTGGCTTCTAGCAGATAGCGGGGGCTCCGATATCCATTCCTCCGATACCTGTTTCTCACCTGTACAGATAATATCCATGTTCAGGCTTTCCTCAAAAACGTTTCATAGGAGTGATTTTTTTTCTTCCCTCCCACCTACCTCTACTGCAGTTTATATACTCCTGTGTGTTTTCACTTACCTGGCTGTTGCACTTACCAGGCAGAGAAGCGCTTTGAACGGCCTTGGAGCTGTTGGGGATGCAGCTGTTCAAGCTCGCAGCGTGATTTGTTTTAAAATCCATCCTTCAGGAAACATCGGTCCCCATGAGCAGCCTGAAGAGATGTTAGTGTTTCATGTTGAAAGAATGAAGGTTGCTGATTCCTTGGAGATCTGTGGGGCTTCTCAGAAAGCCACTGCTCTAAGCATCAGCAGAGACTGTTACTGCAGGTTATAAAGTAGCTCGCTGCACCAATACCAGGCAGAAGTAAGATGTAATGAGGCAGCACCCATTAGCAAGCTGGCAGTGGAGTGCTGGAAATGGAGAAGAGAAGGCTCCGGGGAGACTTTACAGCACCTTCCAGTACCTGAAGGGGCTACAAAGAAGCTGGGGGGACTTTTTACAAGGGCCTGTAGTGACAGGACAAGGGGTAACGGGTTTAAATTGAAAGTGGGGAGGGTTAGATTAGATATCAGGAAGAAGTTCTTCCTGGAGAGGGGGGGGAGGCACTGGAACAGGTTGCCTAGAGAAGTTGTGGATGGCCCCTCCCTGGGAGGGTCCAAGGCCAGGCTGGATGAGGCTTGGAGCAACCTGGTCTAGTGGAAGGTGTCCCTGCCCATGGAAGGGGGGGTGGAACTGGATGATCTTTAAGGCCCCCTCCAACCCAAACGATTCTATGAAATACGCTTGCAGGGACAGCAGGATGTCATTTCAGTGCTAAAGACAGTGATTGTGTTCCACTGATAGACTCAGCAATGAAGGTGTGCTCTGGAGAGCCTGGAAGTAAATAAAATCCTCTAAATAAAATGATGGATAACCAGCACTGGGATCACACTTTGCTCTTATGGTCTAATTGGGTAAGAATATCTCAGTGTAATTCTGCAAAGCAGCGTGTTAACCTAAAGTCAAGTTTGCAGCAAGATTTGCAAATATAGATTGGGATTAATCCCTCTAGGATCTGAAGTAAGATTATCCTAAATGTGAAAAGGCACAAGCTGTGTATGTGTGCAGAAAGCCAGTATTTTCTGGTTGTGCTGTGAAATTGCAGCATGGATGATAAACGACATCATTATTTCCCTCCTATGAAGTGCTTTCTCCATCTCAATTCATGTTGAGGTCTCAAGCACAGTAATGTATTTATGTACGTTTCATTTCAAGCAGACTGATAGGAAAGGCGATAAACAAGGGATTTATTTTCATGTTGTATTTGAAATAACAGCAGTATGGCATCTCAAAAAAGCAAACCACTGGAAATATTAAATGAGGTGGTGACTGTGTTATCATCAAGTCACACTAAACTGCCTTATTTCCCTCATAACCATTAGTCTGCTCTTAGCAGCCAGTAACCTAGACTGCAGGCATTGGAAAAGAAGATTACACGCAAACTGTATCCTGGTGATGGGGGCCAGTAGTCTGGTGAAAGGCAGGAAGGGTTCTGTAATGACTAGAATACTGTTTCAAGGCTCACTTGTTGCTAGAAATAAGGATTTCTAGCAGTTAGAAACAGTTCTTCCTTCAGTACTTGACAGCTCTTAAAAGCAGGCACCAGTCTGTTTGCATATGGGGTAATGTATTCCATTTCCCAGCCAGTGCTGAAAGCCTCCTTCACCCCAGTGCCCCCAGCATACTTGGAGTCTCTTCATCTCCAAACACCAGTGTCTTTCAGTTTTTTTTGCAGCCCAGTGCATGTGCTGGGGGATTTGCTTTTAGACTGTATTACCTGCAGCTGGGGTGTGCAGTGCCAGGAATGTTCAGAACGGCATTGGGGTGGTTTCCCCCACTGCTCCCCTGGCTGTCAACTGGCAGAGCTCGCCGTCAGCAGATGCGGATCGAGCCTGAAGTGGGGATACCTGCAAGGTAACATCCTGCTTATGTTCAGTCTCTGTGTTTTAGATGGATTTCTCCAGGCTGTATGCCATGCAAACAGTAGGACAGCACCAACTTTTCTTATAAGGAAAGTGCTTTTCCTGTTTGGGGTTTGGCTGGGTTCTTCTTTTTCTCCTTCCTGCCGCTTGTATATCACGATCAACTGGAAGTAAGTAAGTAAGTAAATAAATGATTGGGATAAAGCTTTGAAAAACCTGAAAAAAAAATTTTATCTATTAAGTAAATTATGAAAAAAAAAAACCCTGCTATGGTCTTTACCCTACAAATCCTTCCCCTTTAACTGGAATTCAGTATGTACTAGAGCCTTTCATGAACTAGCATCAGGTCCCGTCTGTCTCCTGCAGACAGTAACACAGACTAGGGCTGAGCACGATTTCACTCTGCTGCTGAAGTGTGGGGCCAGCTCATCACTGCAGCTGAGGATGTTACCACCAACATTATGTGGAACGTGTTACGGTGCAGATGAACAGCACGTTGGTTCATGCAAAGCTGGAGCGTTACGCTAATTCAGTCCTTTGGATTCTGCATTTCCTTTACAGGCAGGAGAAGGGGAGTGAGCTGCAGTTGGCTCAGCAGTACTGGCCAACCAAAACACTTTACAGAGAAAAACTCGGCTCCAACTGTAGCCTTCCTGCACGTAGATCTGCAAAAGTTGTTTTTACTGTATAATAAACAGAATAACAAGACAACCTGGTTAAACAAACAGCACTTTATTAAACTAACGTAGTCAGATACTTTATTAATGCTTAAAAACATTATAGCATTTGCAAAAATGAAAAAAAGTTTAAATAGCATAGAACAATTTACAACTGAGAAACAAAGCAGGCAATTTAAATACTGGAACAAGTATGACAAAATGCAAGAAAAATGCATGCTGTTGATGTGATGAGGCAATGTGAACAAGGAAAATTTCCCTTCAGAATAATGCAACATCTAAAGGTATATAAAAGCTTATATACCATGACTTAGCCTGCAACCCCCCGCCCTTTTCCTCGTATAATAAATAAGGCATTAGCATTATACTATTTTAAAAAAGGCTGTTAAGGCTTAAAAAATATTTTTTAACATTCCAAACATTTCTGGTGTTCCGAGCTTTGACACATACATATCAAAATGACCAACTGATGCATACAAATTTCCAAAGACAGTACATCCAGAACTCCAGTAACAAATGGCAAATACCTACCCACCACTTCTTTCACCTAACCGACCCTGACCTAACAGTAGCAGTTATTATTACATCTCTTGGCCAAATTCTGTGGAAGCTTCCATCATGCACACAGACAAGACCACAGCGCGCTGCTGCTTAATGGCTGTTCTTCGTATTAGTTTTACAGCGACAGCACAAGATGCAGATGGACTTCCCATAAGGAGTGCACAAAAGATGAATGCCCAACACATAAACAGTTACACTGCGAAGGTCTGAGTAGTACAGCTAATTGCCTATGAAGGAAGTGGGGACAAACCCTGTTATTCGTTCTTTCCATTATTGGCAGAAAGATCCAAGACAGGAGGAGTCTTCTGTGGCAAGCTTCCATTAATTTCTTGCTTCTCTATCTGACCTCTGTGTACAGGAGGAAAGATTGGTTTTACAGTCTGTTCTTCTGTAAGATCATTAATTTTTAACTATTTGTTCAAAAAAAGCTGAGCAACGTGACATATAAACCTGTCTGTGGCTCCTGCAACATCCCCTGCTGGTCTACCAGAGCTTCTCTCAAAAGACACAGGACAGAAAAAGAGCAGATATTGTTTGTTTTAACATCAAAACTGTAAGTCAGTATGACGGGTGTAGGTTGGGTTGTGTATTCAGATATGCTGTGGGATAAAAGAAGTGTTTTCTGGAATTGGTGGGCAGTGTTCTGGACCTGGAGGAGGGGTACAGAGCCCTGGAACAAACGCAAGCACACCGGGCCCTCCACCACGGTGTTGTCATCCTGACGATGTCATGGACACATCTGCTTGTGGAGCCCTTGAGAGCTGTGCAAGAAGCACAGCTGTGATGAAGCAGCAAACTGAGGATGTCTACGAAGACCAGCTGTAATTCTTCTGGCTCTTCCCTACGCTTAAGAAGTGAGTCATTACTCACTCCCTGGTAGCTATTGAAGTGGGCAACAGGTGGCACTCCAGCACAACCTGCTATGGCCTCTTACACCTAGCCAGGCCCTCGGTAAAAGCAAGGCTAAGGCATGCCGACTGAAATAGGCCTCCAAGCCTACTGTACTGGGAGACACGTGCAGCATCCAGCACAACTTCTGATTTCTGTTTTGCCCACACTGTCCCTTTTAATGCCCTATGCCCATCCCAAATTTCAACTGACTTTGGTCCGTTACCCTGCAAATGCAGGCCAGCAGAGATAGCTGGGTCATCATGCAGAACCAACTGCAGAGGGTTCATCCTCTAGGCAAGGGCCGATTTGGAAGTGTGTTTTAATGACATTTACAGCAACAAATACTCTGAGTGAGACAAAGTTGTGATTCATTACTTGATGTCCTGTTGTGTTAGCATGTGCATGTTTAAAGACTATTTGCATTTCCTCTTTCCTAAACAGGAAAGGAGGCGTGTATTAACTCTCCTCGAAATATGACTGGACAGTCCTGTGCTGAACACTGAGCCACCAGGGTCGCCACAGCTGCTCCAGCATTCAACCAAAGTTTGTTAAGCTATGCAACCATGGCTCGCTTAGAATAAATGAAGTCATCAGTGCAATACTACAGCTGCAGAGTTTGAAATCCAAGACATCAGTACTCACCTTGAAGTGTACCAGTAGTTGATCAGAGTTGAAAGAATGACGTAACACACGCTCAGTACTCCAGAAACTCCCAGTGAAAGCGCACCCAGGCCACAGAGCACACAAAGGAGGCATATACCACCTATGGCTATTACAATACCTAACGAAAGAGAATCAGTTTGTTATTTAAACAAGTTTGCATACAAGTAAATTAAGACCTGACATTCTACCACCACCCCAAATTCAAACCATTTGGGAAAAGAGTCTGCAATCAACTGGCTAGCTGCTATAAAAGCTATTGCATGGTCAAGATAACTGGTTTAGGCGTATCCTGGTGGCTGAGATTAGAAAGGGAAATAGGACTTCCCCTATACAGACTACAGTTAATTGGATTACTATTTTTGTATGAAGTTTCACTACTGTGGAGACCTGAGGACTACAAACAGAAATCCTCAACTGGTTGAACTGGAAACTCCAGAAGGAAGAAGATAAAAAGGAAAAGACATCATGCCTTAAAAGGGATTAAGTACATGCATACAGTACCTTCCATAACTATCACACCAATACAAGCCATTATGGCTGGTGTAACAACAAAGATCAGGAAAACTGCAATGGGAATAGCAGACACTGCAATAAACATCAGGAGTGATAAGGCAACAAAAGGATGGTCATCTAAATATTGGCCAAGTGGAGAATTCATAAATGCAACAACCTGTGGATGAAAGAAAAACATTTTATGACCAGAGAGGAAAACAAAATCTAGGTAACTTTTAAAGGTCGCTGCTACTCTAGTGAACTACAGGTGGCATCTTCTTGTACATCTGCAGCTTGAATAGTTGGCAGCTGTTGCCTCTGTATTTCAAAGGCATGAGGACTTACTGCAAATTTAGATAGCTTCACAGCAAATATAATTCTGCCAATAACCGACATGTTTCTTTTGGACTTCCCAGTTCCATTCTTGCACAAATTAAAGAACAAACAACAAAACCTGAAAACAGGTAAAAAACCCAAATCACAGTTTAGCTGCACAGATTTCAGTGGGGTCTCAGGAGATTTTGATTGAGAGAACTGCATTTGTTAAGAAAAAAATACTGTAACATTTAAAAATTATGATGATTTTTCTTTTTTCCATGCCTCAGCAGTATCTCCAACCTGCTCCCTTATTGAGCATATGTACAGTTCAGGCATGTCTGTACGACAGAGTTGCTAGGAATTCAATTATAATCTTACTGGTAGAAGACACACCCTTTTTACAGAGGTAGTCATACCTACACAATGGAATTTTACTGTAGTAGAGACATTTCCCTTCTTTTAAGGAAACACATATTGTAGTTTTAGTTCTTTTTATAGCAGCACAATCATTCCACTCAAATGCCACTCTACTATCTCAAATGGTTACACTGGTAAAACAGAAATGCAGAACACGCTTCCCTTTTTCCTGACTGCCGAAGGTGTGGGAGGACAGCCCTTGCCATAGACTCCTCAGTGCCCACTTGAAAAAAAAGAGCGTGCCAAATTCCCTCTGTGTCCGCAACCCCAAAAAGTTTTGAAATTGCATTTAAACAAACCGGACTGTGACATTCTGCGAGTTACGAGGTATCTTTATAAATATGTGATATACAATTAGAATCCAGACCCACATTTGAGTTGCTGTGGATGAACTGCACCACGAAGTGCCATTGCTTCTGCAGTTCTTGCATTTCTTTAGACATGTTGTACTCCTCAGCCACGATCTTCCGAAGAACCAGTTCTCACTCAGCCACACGATCTTCCTTAGAATTAAGGTACAATTAGTAACAGGCTCATGCAGATGTTTTGTGAGAATGCAGTATTCCTTTTGCAAAAACAGAGCATGCAGATTTCAGATGTTAACGTGATGAGCCTTTTAGAAAACACTGCTGTTACAAAAGTACATCTGCTGTACAGGGCTCGACCCCCAAAGCTCTTTGAAAACTCACAAAGGCAAGTATGAAGATACAAGGTGACTCTCACCTCCTTTCCTTATTAACATTAACCCAGTATTTAACTGTAAGGGTGTTGAATTAGCAGTGAAAAGGTCAGTTTTCTAAGATTCTGCTTGGACAGTTCAGTGCTACTAGTGCTGGAAACTTGTCACACACGAGTGAGACTCGGGTTTGTGAGCAGCCTCACGTTCAGAATTGAAACCACGCCCTGTGCAGCTTCAAAACTCTGCATATAAAGGCAAAATGCTTTCAAACACTCCAAACATACTTAACTATGACAGTTTAAAGGCAACATCAGCTCAAAAATCTCCCTTCCCCCACGAAAGTTTGATCTGCTAGGGAGACCCTTAACAGGGGAAGACTAGAAGATGTGGTTTCCTGTGCGTAAATCCAAGTAGCTGCCATGCCACTGTCGCTATTTTATACTCAGCCTACGTACGTGGTCCGTCCCTTTGTTTACACAGCCTTTGACCCCTCGTTCGCAGCAGGAGCCCGAGGGGTGCCCCCGTGGGAGGCTGCCGCCCCACCGCGATCGCTCGCCCCAGGCGCC